AATGTTTCTTCTTTATACAGAATTTAACACAATGTTTGTTCTTTATACAGAATTTAACACAATGTTTCTTCTTTATACAGAATTTAACACAATGTTTGTTCTTTATACAGAATTTAACACAATGTTTCTTCTTTATACAGAATTTAACACAATGTTTGTTCTTTATACAGAATTTAACACAATGTTTCTTCTTTATACAGAATTTAACACAATGTTTGTTCTTTATACAGAATTTAACACAATGTTTCTTCTTTATACAGAATTTAACACAATGTTTGTTCTTTATACAGAATTTAACACAATGTTTCTTCTTTATACAGAATTTAACACAATGTTTGTTCTTTATACAGAATTTAACACAATGTTTGTTCTTTATACAGAATTTAACACAATGTTTGTTCTTTATACAGAATTTAACACAATGTTTGTTCTTTATACAGAATTTGAGACTCGTTTGAACTAGTTTCATGGATTCAACTCATTTTGCTGGTATATCTGGTTACAAGTTGTTTCTGTTGGTTTTAATGGTTCAATTGGTTTCAGAATTTTCACTGATCTCACTGGTTCAGCTTATTTGAACTGGTTTTACTGTTTAGCTTCAAGTGTTTTAACAGTTTAAAGTTGTGACTCAGCTGATTCCAGGTTAAATATGTTTCAGCTGATTTTCACTGTTTTCAGTTGGTTGATTGAATCAGTGTCACACTATGAGCTGAATGAGACAAAGTCACATAAAAACAGTTCAGCAGAAACTAACCTAAGATTCTGGTCCCAGTCACTCATCATCATCATCATCATCATCATCGTTTCATCTGTCCTCAGGACGACAGGTGGTGGCAGAATATTTTTACAGGTGAGGAGGCAGTGATGGATGATGAGAGGTGTTGGATCATCTTCTGAGTCAAAGTGAAGGATCTATTTTTTGTGTGTGGGTGGCTGCAGGACACGTCAGCGCCGTTAGCTGAGAGACGGCCTGCTAACCTCAACATCACTTCCTCCACCAACTGTTCCTCTGTCACAGAGCTGTTCAAGTACCCCCCACCACCACCACCACCACCACCACCACCACAAATAAAAGACTGGGATCAGCTCCACACACAGACTCAGAGTCCTGCAGGTTGAAAGAGTCGGTGTGAAGCAGTGGTGTGGTGAGGCACTCAGATCATCACATCAGATGTATGAACCCTACAGTCACACAAAGCTGATCAACGTTTCATTAAAACTAACTTTGGTCCAATCTTTACTGCTAAATGAAGCTCATGCACCGCTCACACTCTTTATTTGTGTGGACTGGATCTAGTTTATATTTTTACCTGCTGCTTCCATTTAAAGTCCAGTTTAGAAAAGAGTTTGAGCTGTCAAATATATAATCCTTCATTCGAAAATTCAAGTTTAGCAACAGGAAGAAAACAAATGTATCTGTGCTTCACATGACTTTTTCTACTGAATTAAACTGAAAGTTTACAAAACAAGGAGCAAAATGCTGCAGTTGCCTTGGTAACCATGAAGAGTAGACCTACTCTTGGCTGCTGGGGCTCAGGAAACCTGCCGCCATATTGGAGGGGTGGTCCTTCCGACTTGGCTAAAGCCAAAGAGCAGAAGATGCCTCGGCTCTGTGCTGCATGTTTGTTCAAACTGATGAGCTGCTGACATCAGGACATGAGGTTATCTTTTACAAGTCTGATGTTTGGTCAATAGGACGTTACTGTAACACTGCTGTTCACCTGGAGGCTAAGGAAGACTTTAGAAAATTATTTACATTTAATTTTCCCCCTTTCCTGACTAACATACCTCTGATGTGCCATCCTCACCACAAAACATCTGCCTGGAACAACTTTCA